AATTTATATGGAACCAAAAAAGACCCTGAATAGCTGCAGCAATTTGGAGAAGGAAGAACATAGTTGGAGGGAGTATAATAACAGATACCAAGTTATACTACAAAGCCACCTTAATCAAAACACCCTGGTACTAACACAAGAATAGGAATATAGATCAACAGAACAGAAAGAACCCCAAAAGCCAACCCACTCCATTACCCTCAATTAATACTGGACAAAGGAGGCATGAACATACAATGGAGTTAAGACAGTCTCTTTTATAAATGATGTTGCGGAAATTGGTCAGATACATGCAAAAAATATGAAACTAGATTCCCAACTTACATCATGCACAAGAATAAACTCAATATGGATAAAAGACTTAAATGTAAGTTGTGAAATAATAAAAATCCTAGGAAAAACCATAGGCAGCAAAATCTCAGACATCTCTCATAGCAATATGTTTACCGATATATCTCCTAGGGCAAAGGAAACTAAGGAGAAAATAAACAAATGGGACTACATCAAATAAAACACTTCTGAAAAGCAAAAGAAACCATCAAAAAAATGAAAAGGGAGCTCACTGTATGGGAGAACATATTTGGTAATGATACACCTGATAAAGGGTCACTATCCAAAATATATAAGGAACTCATACAATTTAACAAAAGGAAGACAAACAATCCAATTTAAAAAAAATGGGCAGAGGACCTAAATAGACACTTCTCCAAAGTAGACATACAGTTGGTGAGGAGACATATGAAAAAATGCTCAAAGTCACTGATCATCAGAGAGAGGCAAATTAAAACATCACCTCACACCTGTTAGAATGGCTAACATCAACAAAGCAACAAATGAAAAATGCTGGCGAGGATGTGGAGAAAAGAGAACCCTAGTACATTGCTGGTGGGAATGTAGACTGATGCAGCCATTATGGAAAACAGTATGGAGTTTCCTCAAAAAGTTAAATATGGAACTGCCACTTGACCCAGTGATCCCATTTCTTGGAATACTAGTATATCCTAAGAAACCTGAAATATCAATCAGAAAGAATGTATGTACCTCTATGTTCATAGCAGGAACATTTACAATAGCTAAGACCTGGAAACAGCCCAAGTGCCCACTAGTAGATGAGTGGATAAAAATGCTGTGGTACATTTATACCATGGAATACTATGCAGCAGTAAAAATAAGAAGGATCTCTTACCCTTTGAGACAGCATGGAGAGACCTGAAGAGTATTATGCTAAGTGAATTAAGCCAGTCAGAGAAAGATAAGTTTCATAGGATCTCAGTCATATGTGGAATCTAATGAACAAAATAAACTGATGAACAAAATAGATCCAGAGACATAGAAGCATAGACTTCAGAATCTCAGAGGGAAGGCGGGGGAGGATGGGTGGGTGGGAAGGAATCATCCAAAGAACTTGTATGCATATATGGATAACCCCTGGACACACACAATAGGGTGGTGAAGGCCTGGGGTGGGGGCAGGCCTAGATGGGCTCAATGGGGGGAAAAAGGGACATGTGTAATACTTTCAACAATGAAGATTTAATAAAAAAATAGATTTAAAAATATGATATCCAATTGTGACAGGATAGTAAGAAGCTAGGGAAATTCCTTGACAAGTGGAAACTGAGACAAAAATAATTAAATAAGGCCAAACAATTTGAGCAATTTACAGTACCTTCCCTAACCAAGGACCCTGAGGAATAAATACTTTACACATTCCAGACCACAGATGGGCCTAGGTTTCGGTCCCTCTTCAATGACATTCTTTGAAAGTAAAACTAACCAGAAAGAAAAACAAACCTGACCCTCTATATCAGTGGTTCTCAACCTTCCTAATGCCGCGACCCTTTAATACAGTTCCTCATGTTGTGGTGACCCCCAATTTTATTGTTACAAATTGAACATAATTAAAGCATAGTGATTAATCAAAAAAAACAATATGTAATTATATATGTGTTTTCCGATGGTCTTAGGCGATCCCTGTGAAAGGGTCGTTCGACCCCCAAAGGTGGGTATCTAATGTGACCCACAGGTTGAGAACCACTGCTCTATATGATGAATCGATATATTGAAGGACACACCTGGAAAGTTAATGAATATACTGTTAAGACCCTCTCGTGTGACCTCCCTTCGGACCCCCACCAGCTAGAGAGAGATTAAAAGCCTCAAAACAAAGGACCCACGATGCACTGTTCTTTCCTATGACATTTCTCGAGAGCCAGAGCAGCCCTGCTCAGGCTCTCCTGCTGCTTCTTCTATTCTAAGCCCTTCCTTGTCTCACTGTCCCCAACTTTAATAAACATATCCTCAAAGTCACCTGGACTCATTTGTGAAATCTTTGCTGCACGAAGTCAAGAATCCAGACACTACTGGCCAGTTCAAGGCAGACCCGCTCTGGGCCCAGTCCCTGTCCAGCAACGCAATTAAAATACTCACGTAACATAATGTGTATGAAGAATACATGGAACAAGATTAGTAAAAAGTTACATGTATTCAAGTTGCATGATGAGACATGAGGGCCATTATAATATTCTCTCCCCTTATGTTTGAATTTTCCATAATAAAAATGTTTTAAAGGATTAAAACAGTAGTAGAGAAATAAAAGGGTACCTAGTCCATTTGATTATCCCTCATCATTTACCTAGTGAACCATCACAAGTGAACGATCACTTCTAATGCTCAGTAAATAAAGGAGCAGTAGACCTGTTTCTGTTTGTGTGGAGTTATCGTATACAGGGTCCAGTCACTTTTTATAGTAAAGAGTGAATGTGATGTGAGAATATTTGTAAATTTCAAATTCCTTATGGCTTACATGATCAAAGTTAATGTGGTAATATTTGTCCAAAGTTCCTTAATCTCAATTTTTTTGGTAACTATAATTTGTTTGTTTTATTAAAGTGATTGTCTTACATAAAATCTATCTAGACATTTAATTAACAATGTTACTCCCTTACCTGATCTTAAAGTATAACTGAGACTTCTCTATGGGAAGCAAGGGGCTGCAGGACAAAACAGATTCATCTTCAACATTCTGGGTATATATGAATAAATGCCAGATCTGATCGACAATAGTTTAAGTTACGGGTTTAAATGTCAGAAGTTCATGAAAAGGCTCTTTAGCAATAATCCTAGCAGTGGAGGAAAATATAAATCTCAGACTGTTCAGAAGCCTTTGAGAGCATTCATAATAGATGATCTCTTTTTTAAAAAGTGTTATTCTTTAAAAAGGTCTCATCTGCAAATAATTTTACTGAACAAGACTTGAAGCTGCCCACATCCTCCCAATTACATTTTAATGTGAATAAAAACATTTTCAATGAAATGTTAAACTTTATTATATATATGAAAACTCTAATCTTTGTGTCTGACATACTAAAAATTTTTTCAAAATGTAATATTTTTTCTTTTCTTTTTGATACTGTTGTAATTAACCTAGTTATTCTTTTTTTTTCTTTTTATTTATTTATTTATTTATTTATTTTTTTAAAAAATATATTTTATTGATTTTTTACAGAGAGGAAGGGAGAGGGATAGAGAGTTAGAAACATCGATGAGAGAGAAACATCAACCAGCTGCCTCCTGCACACCCCCTACTGGGGATGTGTCTGCAACCAAGGTACATGCCCTTGACCAGAATCGAACCTGGGACCTTTTAGTCCGCAGGCCGACGCTCTATCCACTGAGCCAAACCGGTTAGGGCAACCTAGTTATTCTTAACAGGAAAGAAGCAAAGGGAAGGACAAATAGTATAGGCATGTCATTTGTGCAGCTTTGCCAGGAAGCGCAGTTTAATGCTTCTCAGGGGGCCACGGGTCTATTCCCCACGGATGGCTGGGGGTAGGGACTGAACAGGATGGAGAATAGACGCATGCCTAGTAAAGTCTGGGAGACATAGAGAAGGTACTTGTCGGTCAGTCACACATGGGAACAGGTCATTGGCCAGAGTGGGCATGGCCACTGTAAGTGTGGGAAGATTAGGGATACAAAGGAGTTCACTCTCTTGCTTCCTGCTTTCTTAGTTTGCTCTTGGTTGACTCCGGGTTCCTCTTGTTTGACTCCTGACCTGCAGGGCTCTCATGCTCCTGCATTTGCCCAAATGTCCCACAGCCATGTGGACCCCAAACAATGGACTGATGGGCTGAACTAGCCTGATGCTGTACCAGACCCAATTCCAACATGGAACGGAAGCTCTGGACACTGGCTCTGCTTCGAGATCACCTCTCCCAGGACTGAAATTAAAGGAAATGGGACTTTGGAAACCCAGGGATATAATTCCACGCAAATAAAAATCACACATCCTCCCTCGCGAGCCTCAGGAAATACTTTGACTCTAGATATCATAAGGCCCCCAGCACCCAGTGGGGAAGAGGATCCCACATTTCTACCAGTACATTTTTATTTATTTTTCCTCTTTTTATTTTTTTATGTTTTGTTTTTGTTTTTAAATCTTTATTATTGAAAATATTACATATGTCCCCTTTTTTTCTCCCATTGACCCCTTATAGCCCACCCCCACGCCCACCCCCACCCCAGGCCCCCACCACCCTATTGTCTGTGTCCATGGGTTATGCATCAATAACATTTGTAAAGGTAGCTTCTCATGAAGAGGTATCCAGAAAGCCATAGTTTTTATTTTCCACCAGAAGAAAGTTAAGGCACTGGGGGTTGGGGGGTGTGGGGGAATTAATCCACATAAGCTATAGTACAGAGATTTAAACCAGGTGTTTCAGCTTATTTTTTCCCTATGCAATCTAAGTATGTGCTCAGGGATTGTAGGTATAATGGCAATAAAGTTGATTATTTCTGTAGTACATGCAGAATATGCATCACATATTCTTTGATGTAAGGAATTGTGCTATGGATAACAATTATGAAGAGGATTTATAATTCTGGCATTTGATTCAGCTGAGGATGGAGAAGAAATAGTGTTGCCCTCACAATTTATGTATCATGTAACACCCGTTACTTTTAGCTCTCCTTCCCAGGCCTGAGAGCCAAGCATCTTACCGACTACCGCCTCGGTGTATTTCCCTTCCGCCGGAAGAGGGAAGTACTGATTTGGTGATAAATTGCTGCCATATCCCAGAAGAAAACCTTCCAGTTTTACATTAGGGTTTGGACGCAGGAACTTCAAGAAGATAGAGTCACTTGTGGTGTTGATGTGAACTTTCAGGCTCGGCCTTTTACCTGAAGGTGGGAATGAAAAAATAGGTGGCTGTTACTTTACCTCATGAGCGTCCCAGCACAAGTTTAGAGCAAAGGTTAGTTGTTATGGGAAAGCATGTTATCTACTTAGTTACTCAATATTATGACACACCCACAGGAATAGAGAAAATACACGTAATTTTGAAGTCACAGAAAACAGGTTTTTTAACACATAAAGTAGTCTAGAATACAAGGTAAAATGATAGGGTTTAATATTTAGCAATCTGCCATTGGGCAGGTAGATGGGAGACCAGGCTACTTTGGCTAGCCACAATTGGTCAGAACCTCCGTTTTACACCTACTGTCTGGGAATGGTGACAAGATCTGTGGTTGGTAAATTAAATTACTGCACTGGGAGAACCCCCGCTTCCTCGGTGCTGCTCTTGTGTTGTACTCCACAGGACTTTGTAATTACAGAGCTGGAGAGGGAGGGAAATGGGAAGAGTTCAGCTTAGGGGTAACTGAGATGGTAGAAGAGGGAATTCTGAAAGACAAATGTGGAGGAGAAAAATGCTTAGTTCTATTTGGAGGTCACTGGGACAGTGAGACAATTACATGGAGATGCCCAACAGTAAGTCAAATATCTAAGTGTGATACTCAGGAGTGGGCCATAGATCCAGCCGGTATCATTTGTTTATAAATGATCGTTAGATGAATTTTCTGAGAAAGATTGTAGCGTGAGGAGAGAAAACTTAATTAAGTTAAGGCATTAAAATTTTTATTTATTGATTTTAGAGGGAGAGAAACATCAATTCTTGTATGTGCTCTAACTGGGGATCGAACTAGCAACCTCGGCATATTGGGATGATGCTCTAACCAACTGAGCTACCTGGCTAGGGCTGGCTTTTTTTTTTTTTTGCAGGCAACAGTCGCAACTAATCACAATAACCAGAGGTCTTGATCAATCATGGAGAAAGACAATTGTTCTTTGTCTTTGGAGCAGAAGGAGCTGAGTTCAAATTCCAGGTCTGCCACATACTTATGGCCTCTGGCCACTCACTGAATAGGCTGAGCCTTGGAACTTTCCCAATTTGTAAATTATGGATAATAGGTAACCATGTCTACTTTAACAGGATGTTTACAAAGATTCGTGCAAATGGCCCCATCTCAAAGCTGACATGTAGTAATTACTTAATAATTGGTTACTTGATCAGGTCTATTCATAACACTTTAGCCACAATTCAGAAATCCAAAATTGATTTGTAAGGTTTTTGTAACTTCACACCAAACCAATTTGGTAACAAACCTGATCTGAACTGTCATAAGTCTTCTTCGTCTTTCATAATCTCATCGAATGGTCAGTGTGACTATTCACATGTTTAATTGTAGAAATATTACTGTGTTTAATTAAGGGTTGTTGGGCAAGACTCCACTGAAGAGATTACTTAATGTATGGTCTAGGCATCCTAATACATTTCTAGAATCCAAAGATTTTCTGAATTCAAAAACATGTCTGGCTCAAAGTTTTAGATAAAAGATTGTGAACCTCAATTATTTTCTTTCTTTATTCCACAGGAATTTCATGTTTCTAAAATATTGTACCTATTCAGAAAATTGCACTTACTAATTTAATATCTCACATTTCCTTCCTCATTAATAAAAGACTTGTATATATACCAGTCAGAACCTCTGAACGGCATGGGCTTCCCAAAGTCATCACATTCCAGTCGAAATCAGCCTGGCCCACCTCAGTATAGCTACATAAAAGGATTCTATTAGGCCTTTGAAAAACTAAAAACAGCCCCTTCTTGAAGACCAGGTTGTGGAAATGAACCATTCTCTTACCTCAGCAGCCAATACTATTTCTAGATATGTACATAGTACTTTGTACTTCCCAAGAATTTGATGTTATTTCTATGAACTTCCTGTTTCTCAAATAGCTATTCCTATACTTGTAGCAAAATTGAAACTCAGAGACACTGGGTTTCTCTAAAGTCTGAGGAAGAATTACCTAGTCCAGTTCATCTAGTCCAAACAGTTTAACTAAGGGTAGACACACCCCTGTCATTCTGCAAGTCAGATCTCAGGCTCAAAACTGGGTCTCAGGTTTTCTCTAGACTGGACTTCTCTTGTTTTTATTGAGACCTTTGTTACTACCCACTAGAGTAAGGAGTGGCCAGCTCCCAGACCATAACACTTAAGTTGATGTTAACTTCTGATGTTTTGTCCTAACTTCATTAGATTTCAATGAGATGGTTTACACTTCAGATAGAACAGATTTTATCCAAGCCAATTTTTCTCTTCTTAGCTGTGTGCCTAAATTAACCCCAGAGTTACTCCATCCTGCTCACTAGATGGAACAAATATAAGTCAAGCACATATTCTGTTGCCTTAGCACATTATCAGGCCTCACAATAAATGAAAACACAGCCAGCCTGTTTCAGCACCTTGTAAGGAATCTTAGCGTGCTTGGGCTGCACGCACATTTGACTAAGAGCCAAGAGCCACAGCATCATCACATTAGACCTTTGCTATAAATTTTGGCACGATGTACCACATTACTACTCCCCTTGGCAAGTGGAAAGGATGGCTACACCAAGTGAGAAAAAGGCAGGTTGTAAACAGAATCACCGACCAACAGAAATGGGAGTGTTCTCACTTCCTCTGCACAGGAATTTTCATGACTCCAGTCTTTTTTTCCTTTTTCCTAATAATCAATGTCAACAAATACATCAATAGACCTGGCTGGTTTGGCCAAGTGGATAGAGTGTCGGCCTGCAGACTGAAGGGTCCCAGGTTCGATTCTGGTCAAGGGCACATGCCTGGGTTGCAGGCTCGATCCCCAGGAGGGGGCGCACAAGAGGCAGCTGATCAATGATTTTCTCTTATCATTGATCTCTCTCTCTCTCTCTCTTTCTCTCTCTCTCTCATTCTCCCTTCCTCTCTAAAATCAATAAAAATATATTTAAAAACAACAACAAAAATACATCAACATCATGTGATTTTTTAAATGAATTGGTAGTTAGCTTCTCTACATAATAAAAAAATTCCAATTCATACTACTTTCTAGAGCTAAATTTTTTAAAGTCCTATAAAAGAGAAACACACCCAGACAAATCTTACCTCAAAAACCACAGCATCATCAACTTCATATTTTGAGACTGTCATCCTAGTTCTTTATTTGGAACTAGGCACTCAAATCCTTTCATTATCTAGCCACACATTACTTCCTCTCTTATTCCTTCTCAACTTATCCTACTTTTCTTTCTTTTTACCAGTATAATTTTCTCATATTCTGTGATGCATATGAAGCCCTGGCCCTACACCTATGCTCACAGTATCACCAGTATGGTTACCTCTATCTTAGGTTTGTTTCTCTCTACCCCTTTGCTCACCCAGTTATAACCCCATTAATTCTTTCAGTGCTCAGCAAAAAGATTAAGCAAATTTTCTCTTTTGCATATTTAGAGTACCATTAAACTCTATGCTCTTGGAAAATTTCCCCAATATTTTAGGGTATATCTGTGCATTCTATATTAATTTTTAATCTTTGATAAAATTATATTCACTCTGAGTAATTCTGGCTTAATGGTATGAAATACTAGATCATGTAATGACATTTATCTTTCAACAGTTAGTACGAAGGACTCTGGTGAATGACTTAGAGATTATCTATCAAAAGCATGGATGGAGTGTTTGTGTGAACTAATATAAATTCAAAGTAAACATCATTACATAAAAGGGTACGGTCTTTTTTTTTATTTTTTTAGTTTTATTCATTTCAAACGGGCCGTAGTTTGCCCACGGCTGCACTAGATCATGTAATAACATTTATCTTTCAACAGTTAGTATGAAGGCCTCTGGTGAATGACTTAGAGATTATCTATATATATAAAAGGCTAATATGCTAAGTGTTCGACCATTCAACCAGTCACTATGATGCACACTGACCACCAGGGGCAAGAAACTCAATGCAGGAGCTGCTAAGCAGCAGTGACTGGGCAGCAGCAGTTCTCACCTGAAACTAGAGAGGAGGGAGCCCGGTTCCTAGCGGGGCTGTGCAATTCCACCTTTGGCCGTGGGTTATGTTGTTGCTGGGGCACTGTTGGCCTCAAATCTGGTTTACTGCACACTTGCGTTTGCGTTCCACACCCTGTACGACAGCAATTTTGCAGAGTGCCCTCTCTCACTCTGGAACCCCTTGGGGGATGCTGGAGAGCCGGTTTTTGCCCAATCCCCTCAGGCCAGGCCGAGGGACCCCACCTGCCAGAGGGACTCCACTTACTCCACAGACACCTTTTGAGCCACAGCGCCACCCCAGGTGCCACCGGCCAGGGAGGGACCATGGAAGGTTGGTCCCAGGGCATGTCCGGCCCCGTCTAGCCCAGTCCTGCCCCGCCAGCCACCTTCTAATTAATTTCCTTTCAATGTGCATGAATCTACGCACCAGGTCATTAGTAGAACAATAATACAAGATAGAAGCTTAACGAGGAAAAGTTTATAAGTAAAATGGCATATATGTCACCCAGAAAACCCGAGGAGTACAGAGAAGCAAGAGTATTAGAAGCACACTTATTTGTACTATACAGTAAACAAAGCATATGCCAGGAGTGAGAGAAAATAAAGAATGTAAACCTTTCAGGAAAGCAACTCTGGTATGGCTGAGAAAAACACTGCGTATTGGCAGAGTGGAATTGTTTCTAATCCTCTCTTTGCAACACCCTAGGGTAGTGGTCGGCAAACTGCAGCGGCTCTTTGGCCCCTTGAGTGTGGCTCTTCCACAAAATACCGACTTCTGTGCATGGGCCACGAAGTTTCAATCGCACTGTACATGCGCACCTGCACGTGGTATTTTGTGGAAGAGCCACACTCAAGGGGTCAAAGAGCCGCATGTGGCTCGCGAGCCACGGTTTGCTGACCATGGCCCTAGGGTATCTCTAAATATTTCAAAGGGGGTTGTGAAATTCTTTAAGAAAAAATAGTATTTCAAAACAAAATTATAATTAATCCCCTTTTAATTTTCAAAAGTAAATACATGCCCT